AGGACAGGAAGAGGACAGGACAGGACAGGAAGAGGACAGGAGAGGACAGGAGAGGACAGGAAGCACAGAGAGGTTTGGTTCTGAAGGATTTCCATCCCACACATGCCAATACAAAGTTCTTCCCATTTTAGGAAGCAGGAGAGGGACTCAGAACAGTAGAAGATGGAGGGAAGGACTGTACCGCGGGAGGTAAGGCGCGCACAAGAGAGCTCTGCCCAACTGCCAGTTACTGGTGATACTTGGTCGGTAAAGTTGTGTCTGCCAGTTACTGGTGATACTTTGTCCGTAAAGTTGTGTCTGCCACCAACACATTCAACATCTGGGTCAAGTCTTGTGTCTATTTTCAAAAAGCCACTGTGGCATCGTATTGCCTGGTTGGCCCCACACTCTTCCAACAGTAGCTACCTAAAGTCAAAAGTAAGCTTGTGTTGTGAGCTAGTCAACACCACTTCGAGGTTTCAGTACCTCACACAAAAGTAAATATGCCAAGATTCACAAAACGGGCCAACCTGCCTCCTCCTCAGCATGACTTCACAGGGATAGCACACCGGCCTCACTGACTCCAGGCTAGGTCTGTCTCGTCTGCTTCTGTGATCTCTGTAAGGTAATTAAACTTCTGCTTTCTCTTTTGAAAAGTGGAAATGCTGACTAAAAAAATAACTGTTAGGCTGGGGACATGGCTCAGTTGATAAGGTACTTCTTTGCTTAGCATGCATGGGACCTTGGGTTTGATTGCCCGGCATCACATAAAATAGGTCTGGTGGCTCACACCTCTAATGGTGGCCCTCTAGAAGTGGAGGCAGGAAGGTCAGAAGCTCAAGGTCAACCTTAGGTATATAATGTGCTCACAGTCAACCTGGGGTACATGTGACCCTGTCTTCAAATCCCCACCCCTAAAACAAACAAAAAACAACTCTCCCAAAAATGAAAACCAAACTAACAAACCTTACTGAGATAATACTGTAGTCATAATCTGAACATTAATCTCTATTATCTGCATAATTACGGCCTTGCAAATGCAAGGCAAGGCAGGTAAACAGTGGTTCCATAGCCTCAGAAAAATAGAGCAACTAGTTGCCACTGAGGGTTTGCTGTGACATCCTTATGTGACTCAATAGTTACATAAAATCACATCCTATCGTGTAGATGGTTTGACAAGGTCGCGCTTGGTCACATCACATGTCTGAGAGTCAAAGCCTGGCTGTAAACCAAGTGTTGTCGATTTTAAGCCAACATCGTTCATGTTGCAAAGCTGTCACAGAGAAAACTGTCATGGTAGAGAGATTGTCCTGGAATGGCAAGGTTGATGCCATGTTTATCAGTGCTCTTTGGGTCCGTTGCTTTTCTTGGAGCTGTAACAAAATGCCTGACCAAAGCAATTTATAGGAGGGAAGGTTTGTACCTTGATGGAGACCTCCTGTCAGTCGTGATGGGGAAGACATGCTAACAGGAGCATGAGGCAGGTGGTCCCCTTGCATCCACAGCCAGGGAGCAGATGAATGCTGGTACCCAGCTTGCCTTCTGTTCATTTCATCTGGGACTCCAGCCCATGGAATGGTGCCCCCCCCCCACATTTAGAGGTGGCCTCATAGGTCTTCTGACCCAGCCTAGGCACTTCCTCACAGATGTATTCTGTTTCCAGGGTGATTCTAGGTCCCATCAAGTTGACAAACACTTGTTCTCATCAGTGATGTTTAATTGCTGAACCAGGACAGCAGAGGTGTGCATTAACAGGCCTCATGCCCTGCACACTGAAGGCCAAGAGGACCTCAGGGTCCTCTGACTCTGGGCCGTCTTTGGCTTCCATGCACCATTGACACACTGAGGTATAAGTCTGTGTGTTCCTGGAGGCTTAGCGAATTCTCTTATTGGGTAAGCAAGTGCCTTAGCTGCCTGTCAACTCAGACATTTAAATGAAACATTTTTTTAAATGAAGCTAAGACATAACAGCGTTGGGTGAAAATGGGCTTTTGGATGTTAACTGTTTCGGATACTTGTCTTTCCACAGAAACTGAGGTTTCCACACCTCCCAAAGCACCCGTGAAGTTAGTTAACTTTCCACAGAGTGAGAAGTAAGTCTCCTTCACACCATGTTTGGAGTCTTAATCTTTCTCCTGAGTCATACATATGTAAGTTCTTTGTCTCCTCTGCAGCACTTCAGCTAGTGAGAAGGAGGTGGAGGTGAGTTTAATGTCTGCCTTTCCACCCTGCTTCCTCCTCCCCTCCCCTCCCCTTCTCTTTCCGGTCCCCCTCTCCTTTTCCCCTTCTTCCCTCTCCCCCTTCCCCTTCTCTATCCCCTCCCCTTCCCTATTCCCCTCTTTCCCCTCCCCCTCCTTTCTCTCCCTCCTCCTCTCTCCCTCCCTTTCCACCACTCTGCTCCCTCTTTCTGCCCCCCTCTGCACTTCAGATGGTCCCATCACAGTCTTGCACAAGCCAGTTACAAGACTAAATGCAGGCAGAGCTGTGCTCCAGCCTAGGGTTGCGGGGGAGAAGGATGCCCCCACTTCACGGACCTCCTCTAACGTCTCTCCTTGTCCGCATGCTGCTGTGGCCACAGGCAGAGTTTCTCAGGTTGTCCTTGGGACTTAAGTGTGACTGGTTTACACTGGAGAAGAGAGTCAAGCTTGAAGAGAGGTCCCGGGACCTGGCAGAGGAAAACTTGAAAAAAGAAATCACGAACTGTTTAAAGCTTTTAGAGGTGAGCAATGATTGGGGATGGGCAGTCACATGCTTACCCCTCCTTCTCCCTTTCCTGTCCCTTCCCTTCTTCCTATTTCTCTTTTTGAGATTGACTCTTGCTGTATAATTATGTAGTCCTGGCTGGCCTGCTACTCAGTATGTATACCAGTATGGCTGCATGTCACTCTCCTGCCTGAGCCTCTCAGGACCACGGTTGTGAGCTACATGACCAGCCATTGAGTTACACTCTTTTTTTTCCCCCTTGCACATGGTATAGGAGTCTAGTTCCATATTTAGGCACATGGATATATATACACTCTTCTCAACACTATTTCTGGAAGACACATCTCTTCTCCATTGTGTTTGGTTTCCTTCTCAAGGTCATTTGACCACAGACATAAAAGTTGTTGTCTTGGCCTTCTGTTGTGTTCTGTAAGTCCATGTTTGTTCCGGTATCATCCCATTGAATTACTGAGTGTGTGGTATGTTCTTTAAAAATTATTTTACTATGCTTGTTTATTTTGTGTGGGGGGGAGGGGGACACATGCCATGGAGCACATATGAAGGTAGAGGACAGTTGTACTTGTTTATTTGGGGGTGGGCATGCCATGGCACACATGTGGAGGTGGAGGCCAGTTGAGGGAATTTTCTCCTTCTACCATATGGGTCCTGGTGTTTGACCTCACGTCATTCCAGCTGGCAACATGTGCTCTTACTCACTGAGCATCTCACAGCTGTGTAGTATGTTTCAAAATCAGGAAGCATAGGCTGTTCACTGTCCTCTAGACTACATTTATTTTAGGGTAGTTTTTGTACCAGGCTTTTTCTCTACCAACCAACTCCCAGATCATGACATAGAGATTTAATATTAGTTATGAATGCTCAGCCTTAGCTTATGCTCATTTCTTGCTAGCTTTTATAACTTAGCCGGTTTCTCTTCATCTGTGTTTTGCCTCAAGGCTTTTTACCTTTTCTTTCTGTATGTCCGACCTTGTCTGCTGCCGGTTGGCTGGCAGCTGCCTGCCTGGCTGGCCCTGGGTGTCTCCCTCACTTTCTCTCTTTGTTCCTCCTCCTCTCCTATTTATTCTCTCTGCCCGCCAGCCCCGCCTACCCCTTTCCTGCCTAGCTATTGGCTGTTCAGCTTTTTATTAGATGCCTTAGGCAGACAAGGTGAAACAGCAACACATCTTTTCATAATTAAACAAATGCAGAACAAACAAATGTAACACACCTTCACATAGTTAAAGTAATATTCAGCAACATAAACAAATGTAACATGTCTTTACACAGTTAAATATTCTACAACTTTTTTTTCTTTTTTATACTTTCTAGTAATAAGGATCCAAAATCAGAATCTCACGAATGTGAAGCATGTGTTCTACCACTGAGCTGTGTCTCCAAGCACCCACATTTTTCTGTTTCTGCTTACCCCCAGATAATAATGTTGAAATTTTGATAATAAATTGTCACAGACTCTATAGATTTCTTGGCTCATCAGGTCTAGCCACCCATGAATGCAGGATGTCTTTCCATTTGTGTCTTTGTTTTGTAGATTTCAAGGTATGAGTCTTTTGCCTCCTTACTCTGGCTTATTTCTGAGTATTATATTCTTTGTGATATGATTTAAAATAAATTGTTTTTCTAGTTTATTATTTTAAAGTGTCAGTACACAGAAACATAACTGATTCTTGTATTAGTTTTGAATATTGTAATTTTTGCTGAGTTTATTAGTTTGAAAGTTCTGTTCTGCCTGTAGGGTATACTACAGAAAAAATCACACTGTGAACAGAAATATATTTTATCTCTTATTGTTTTTCTTGCCTAATTGCTTTGGCTACCGAACCACTGCCATAATATGTTGCATAGAAGCCATGAGTGCACATGGGGGTAAAGCTGTGAGTACACTTGAGGGTGATTCAGTAGAAAGGGAAGGACTAGGCATTGTGTACCTGTGACCTAACAGCAGTTTTTACGCCCTCCACTGCTGGGCTTTGGTGGCACTTTCTGCTCTCCATCAGGATGCTTAGATCTGAAAGTGGTTTAGTAGGTGTGAGAAACTCTGTTGGGTGTGTTTTAATGCTTGGCTTTCCATGCAGTCATTAGCACCTCTGTGTGAAGACGACAACCAGGCTCAGGAGATCATTAAGAAACTGGAGAAGAGTATAACATTTCTCAGCCAGTGCACGACACGTGTGGCCAGCAGGGCAGAGATGCTGGGGGCCATCAATCAGGTAACAGTGAAGTGGAGAGGATTTGTGCCTCTACAGAGTGTGGGCTCATTTCTAAGAATATGTTTCAGAACACTTCTATGCATCCAGGTGTTGGTTTAAACCTTTAAACTCAGCACTCAGGATGCAGAGGCAGATCCGTCCTTGTGAGTCCAAATCCAGCCTGGTTTACACAGAGTTCTAGGCCAGCCAGGGTGACTTTGCTACTGAGAAAACTTATGCAAAGGGAGGGAGGTGCCCGAGGCTTGAACCTACTATCAGAATCCACATGCTGCCCTCCTTCCCATATCTCTAGACATATCTCTAGACAGTCACTCTCCTGTACGCTCTAAGGGCAGCCATCTTGCCTGTATACATAATCCCATCCTTGCCCAGTTTACACAGAAACATGAGCCTAAATTCTGTCAGTTAACCCCCGCCCTTTTCAGTGCTTCCTAGTCTATGGGACAGACCATCCCCACTAGTACAGATGCACATTGTTTTTAAGATGGAGCTGGGCAGAGGTGGTGTGAACCCACCTCTTCATTGAGAAAGAATTACTGCAAACAATAGAAACGGGCCTGAGTGGCCCCATGCATTTCCCAGCACCTGGGAAGTAACAGGAAGATGACTGTGTGCTACAGGCTAGCCTGAGCTGCATGGTGAGAGATACCACCTTCAAAATCAAAGATCCTTCTCTTTCCTTCTTCCCCCACCCCACACCCTGCTGTCTTTGGCTACCATATTGCTTTTCTACTTCTTTTTCTAGAACAAGCCTCTCAGTGGAATGATTCTCCTGCCCAGTCTCTCTCCTCTAGTATTCTCTTAAACCTTGTCAGCCATACGCCTCTACAAACCTGCCATTCTTCTGTCTACCACGCAACTGCACACTCCAAAAGGTCAGCACTCCTTCTGGAGAACTCAGCATTTCCCTACCTCAGCCCTTTACCATAAGGGCTGCTCCTCTCCCAGGCTGTTGAATGGCCCCACCCCTTCTCTCAGACCTCCTAGAGCTGAAGATCTGAGGATCTCCCTTCTGGTCACCTTCTCACCATCTGTATTCAACCCACGTGCTCACAAAACCCAGGGTGACTCTCAGATCTGAGTTTCACCTCATCCTGTCTTGCGGTCCTGATGGGAGCTGGCATTTCTTCCTAGATGCCCGATACATCCTGCACTTAGCATCCTCAAAGCCAGGGCCCTCCGAACCCTTTCCCACCCATTGCCTCCCAGCCTCAGTCCTAGTGGCACAGGCCAGCACTAGTGGGGGTTGGGACGCGGGGTTCTCTCAACACTCCTATCTCCTTCTGCATCAATTGTCAAAGAGTGCATCAGTGCTCCACCTTCAGACCAGAGAATATCGTCATGACTTCTGCTGGTGTATCTACCAACTACACCTGAGTCACCCCCTCTCTCTGCTGTACTAAAACAGTGGCTTCCAAAATGGTACTGCTTGTGTCAAATCCTAATCCTTCCAACACTTTATTCTTTGACAAGCAACTTTGCATGTATGTAGCATGTGGGGGGGTATATGTGGGAGGTGCATTGTATATGGGGGGTCTGGGGGATGTGTACATGCTTGCTGCAGTGTCAGTGTGGAGGTGGAGGTCAGTGGGCAACTTTGGAAGAGCTGGCTTTCTCCTGAAGTATGGGTTGTAGGGATGGAACTCGGGTCTTCAGGTTTACGTACAAACGCTTTTGCTTGCTGAGCCACCCTGCCAGCCCTGAATGTCTGTTTTAATTGAGTGTTGAGGACGGTGTTGTTAAGGGAGGTTGACTCTTGTAGGAAAGCCGGGTGAGCAAAGCAGTAGAAGTGATGATTCAGCATGTTGAGAACTTGAAGAGGATGTATGCCAAAGAGCATGCCGAGCTGGAGGAGCTGAAGCAGGCTCTGCTGCAGAACGAGAGGTCCTTTAACCCTCTGGAGGATGAAGGTAACAGCATTAAGATAACAGTGGTGTGCTGCCTCCGCAGTTCAAGACGCTTGCTGCTCATACTTGGTCCCCAGCAGCCATGTCTATTGGCTTACAACAGCCTACAACTCCAGTTCCAGGGGATCTGATGCCCTCTACTGGCCTCCATGGGCACTGCACCCACATACAAGTGAACACACACACACACACACACACACACACACACACACACACACACACACACACA